CAATTAATTAGTGAGCAATATATACTAAATTATACCGATGCGGTATCACATTACCGCGCATTTGCGAAATACCCCAATTGTTTAATCACGATAATACGAATTCAAACAACATAAACTTTAACCACATATTATGTGTCGATAAGTTTTGTGACAAATTTTTTTATAGTAAATCATGGTAGTATTGAATATTATGATATCAAGTAAAGTTTCATACTGTACCAAAAATTTTTAATAGTAAATCATGACTGTTAATGTTAATTCCAATATAAAATAGCTCACAATAGTCAGCAAGTTTTGTACAGTACATAATTTTTTATAGTAAATCATAATAGAAACCACAACTGTTAATTCCAATACACACTAACTCAAAAATATACTGCATGTCATCGCAATAGCTGGTAAGTTTTGTAACAAAAATTCTACAGTAACAATAATAGGTATCACTCAACTACATACTGTAATAGCAAGTAAGTTTTATAACAAAATTTTTACAGTAAATCATGTTAGGAATCATGACTGTTAATCCCAATACAAACTAACTCAAAAACATAATGTTTATTACCGCTATGGTCAGCAAGTTTTGCAAAACGTTTCTGGAGTAATCACACCGTCAATTCCACTAAAAGGTAAATTAACCTTAATTACATACTGTGTGTAATTACAATAGCAAATAAATTTTTTACAATAGAAATCACGACTGATAATTCTAATAAAAACTAACTCAACTACATATTGTGTCATCGCAATAGCTTGCTAATTTTGTAACATGACAAAAATTACACTAAATACAGTAATAACAAGTTTTAATAAAAATTTTATAGTATCCTGATAGAAATTATAACTGTTAATTCCAATAGCTTGCTAATTTTGTGACATTACAGAAATTACACTAAATACCGTAATAACAAATTTTAATAAAAATTTTATAGTATCCTGATAGAAATTATAACTGTTAATTCCAATACTGCATGTGCAATAGCTCGTAAGTTTTGTAACAAATTTTTTACAATAATCTATCTAATATATAAACCATGTAATTTAGAGTTCGTCTATTTAAACAGTTTTAATTGATTATCTGTGAATTGGTAAATGTAGTAATTATTACGATATTCTCAATGATTACAACTAGAGGTCGGAACCGGTTGTAATTTTAAGAACCGAATTGATTTTTGCACATACATAAAACCGGTTACAATTTGATTTAAATCAATTGGAAATTAAACCGAATTATAAGTCATATAAAACCGGTTGTGATTTAGCTGAAACCGGTTTGAAATTAAGCCGAATTATGCAATTTGATGTAAATAGCAAAACTTTGAGAATTAAATTCATACTACCTTTATATGATATAATGCGATTGCTATAAATGCTGGTGAAGTTAAATTTTAGCATTAGTTGACAATTTTAAGCTGCGTAATTTCAAGTGTTAACTTCAGGCACACTAAACTATGATGAAGAAAGAGTCTTTTCATAATGAAGAGTAAAAATTCGAATATTATTTGTATTGCTCATTAAATATTGTTAAAATAATAATGACCTTTAAATAAAATTTGTATTGCAAATTCGGTAAATTGAATTATGTACTGAAGTATTTTTCAATAGAAATAAATTTAGTTTTGCATACTTAATGTTGAAATGCTTATACAATGCGTACAATATTTAATAAGCAGAAAGCATTTGCATACATAATGTTTAAGCTATTGAGTTAAAAGCATTTCGATATACTTACCAGCACTATTATGTTTGAAATATTTTAATATACTTACTGTTTCGCTTTAGAAATAAAAACTTATTTACTAGATCTGGTGATAGTCGTGTTCTTTTTACTGTAACATGGTTATTAGCATCAGAAAATAATCTTTCAGAGGGAACTGAAGTTGCCGGAATTGAAAGATATTTTCTGGCCAATTGTGCAAGAATTGGTAATTCAGCCTTATGTGATTTCCACCAATTAATTAGATCTTCATTAAGTGCAATGCTATCCAAAGTTAGGTAATATGTTACTTCATCCAGTTTAGTCAATTCTTATGCCTGGCGAGGTATAGTTTTCAATTGATTGAAAAAATCATCATCATTATTGTCTTTATTGTCATGAGTTGATAAAGTGCTTGCTGAAAAATTATTTAAATTTAATAGATCCAATGCTGTTTTTCTTTCAATATAGAACCGTTCAAGTAAACTTTTTGCATTGCTAATTGATTTGGTGCCCATTGAAAAACTTTAAACCATGGATTAAGAATAGATGCTATCAATACAATATTAGAAGGTATAGTCCATAACTTATCCAGAGACAAAAATATGGCAGCTCGAACTTTTTGCAACAAGCCATTTAGATTAATTGAAGGCAAGTATTAGATCTTATTATTGTCAATATTAGTACTTTGTTGTACTTGTTTTTTTGATTTAAATTTTCTTTTTACTCTGACTTTTTTTTTTCTTTTTCCACTTTTCATATGTTGCTGAAATTGTCTATGAGCATACTGCCAATGTTGCCGAGTTTCACAACTTGGTATATAATCATCCTCACTAACTGAACTTGAATTATCTATAATTTTCTCATTATTATTATCAGAATCATGACTATAAATTAGATCATGATATTGTTGTTTTGTTTCTCCTTTATTTAATTGTGGAGCAAATGACTTCTTAAGAATTTCTATATATGGATATATAGTACTAAATATTGGATAATTTATGCCAGAAATACACCATGTAATTTTTTTTAGGTGCTAATATATTAACAATATTCTGAAAAAACCTACAATAATAATAAATAAAAAATTAATTAAAAAAAAATACAAAATAATATTTAAAATAAAATTTTTGATCAAATTTGTAAATTGTTACATACTTTTACAATCATATAATTGTAGTTCGATTGTACGATTGTAAAAATAATATAATAGACAATTCTCTAGTCAACTGGACAAAAATTTTTTTTTTATATATAAATTTTACTATAAGTGCGAATGCACCAAGCCTGTATTAAAAAAGTTTTAGATACAGGCTCGGTGCATTCGCACTTATAGTAAAATTTATATATAAAAAAAAATTTTTGTCCAGTTGACTAGAGAATTGCCTAATAAAATACTTTAAAAATTATTTAACAATTACACAATTAGATGATTGTATAGGTAGCAACAATTTATATATTTTAATTAAAAAAATATTTTGCAAATTAAAATAAATAAAATTTACTATAGTTCATCTAATGTAAGACATAGCTGGTCTAGTTTTTCATCCTCTCTTTGTATAATTTAATTTGAATCCAAAAGCAAAGAATTAGAAACATGACACATTGCATTATGTAACTCTAAAACACGTTTTCAGGCATAATAAACTAAATTCTACTGTGTTTTTGTGTCATCTAAAACATCTAGTAGATTGATATATTTATCATTTAATTGAAAAGCTGAATTAAGCTTATTTTGAGCTAAATGAAGTCTTTTAGCTTGTTTAAGAAGTCTAAAAAAGGTTTGTAAATTTTTTACTTATTGATGAATGTGCTTGCATTGTTTAAGCTCTTTCAATACTAAAAGCTGCAGTGTATGAGCAGCAAATGGTTGTCTAATTACTTGTAAAAGAAAATTTTCTGAAAGTAAATTAGTGCTATGAATCATATTGGAACTATTATCTGTTATAATTGTATAAACAGAACTCTGTAAACCCATTTATTAATTATATTATATAATTCTTGGCTGATTACTTCTCCTGAATGAGAATATTCCAAATACTCACACTTTAATAAAACTTCTCGAAATTTAAATTCAGAAGTTAGCCAAGTTCTTGTGATTTCTAAATATCCATGTCGTGACTTTGCAGTCTATAAATCCATAGTTAAATGAATAGCTTCTATATTTGTATTAAGCATAAATTTTAAATAATCTTCACATAAATGATATGCTTGATGAATTATAGTTTTTGCTATTTTTATACATGGAATTTCATAACTGGATACACAGGTTTTTATTAATTCATGAAATGATTCATCATCTAAAATATATAATAGCTCAACAAATTTAATAATAAAGGTGATCAATTTTTGAGTAATTAAATTTTGTTGATCTAGTAATATTGTATTATATATACTATTCTTTATAATAATTAGATTTAACTAATATAATATAAAATAATTAATACATATATATATATAGTAATATGTAGTTAAAAATTAATTAAATTAAAATTACATACTTCATTATTATTATCCAAATACTCTTTAAAATTTATTTTTGTAATATCATACTTATCTCATAAATGCCCAATCAAATTAGAAGTGTTTTCACTTTTTTTAATATATAGATAAGGTTTTTTATCACTTTTAGCTAAGTTTTCTTTGCAAATTTTACAATAAATAATTTGTGAATTTGTTTTACATTCTTCAAAAAAGTGAGTAGTAAAACTTTGATTGATTTGTAGTTTTTTCTTTTTTTTTTTTTTCTTTATTATTTATAAGTGAAGAGTCAGAAAGCTGACTATTACATAATGAATTAAAAGATTCTGAACAAGACATAGTCTGTGAAATTAGAAGGTAATAGATTTGTTTTTTTTATTATAATCAATTAATAAATATTATTAATAATGCATATCGGCGAATTTGCGGAATTGACCTAAATTAAGATCCATATATTTTAACAATGCGATTGTAAAGCTGACCCCAAAATTTCAGCTATTATGCATTCTGCAATTGTTAAATCCAGAGATCCTAATTTAAATCCATTCCGCAAATCTGCTGATATGGAAATAATATATTAAGGGAATTGCTATTTCCACCATGGTAATTTGCTATTTCCACCATGGTTACACAAGATTTTCTATTTTTAGATAACAA